TTGAATTAAAAAATTAAAATGAAAGACTTTTTTCCTGAAAATTTGGGCCAAAAATGTGGGAGCACACTAGAAAAAGAAATACATTATACATGGCAAAATATGGTAAGTTCATGAAAAATGGACTACTGAATGTCTTAGGAAAACTGGAACCCTTGTTACAGATCCTATATATGAACATATGGAATGCAAATAGTTAATTCAATTATTGTTTAACTGTACAATACATGGGGTGATTATTTGCTTTATTATCAAGGCTTCCTCATTCTCACCTACTCTTCTCTTCATTTTAGTCATTTCATTGGATTTAGTCACATTTACTTAGAATTCCATATAAGAATATATTTCTAGATTAGATTTTAATTCATACTTTATTCCATTTCCTTCCTACAAACACGAAGTTTAAAAGCTAAAAATACTATGCAAACACTTTTAAGAGTGATTGTATCCACAAAATATATAATTGGTGTATATTTTCTGCAAGAAAAACACATAAATAACAACCACTGTCTTTATCAGCACTATAAATAGACAATAACAATAGTTGTTATGTAAGTTGTTAGACATTTTGTGGCAGTGATTTTGGTAATATTAATTAAGTACCTTTAAACTCTTTATTTCTTTCTTTTGATTCTATTTTTGGGAATCCATTCTAAGCACACAATGTATGTCCATAGGTATATATCTTCCTATATTTCTACACCCAGTGCGGCAGAGTGGCCTAGTAGTTAAAGATATGGTCTCTGGAGAACCTCAGCTCAGTACGGGCTCCACCACTGACTAGCTGCCTGATGTTGAGTGAGTTACTTAAATTCTGTACCTCAGTTTCCTCATTTATGACAGGGAGATCATCTTAGTACCTTATAAAGTCTTCATGAAGATTAAATGAGGTGATAAGAGCAAATCACCTCCACTAGTGAATTTAATAAATGTTCACTGTTACACTGTTATGTTCATAATGGGGCTAATATTAGATTGGTTGCATTAATGCTGCTGTATCCACTAACAGGGGTGTCTAGGCCGCTGCATGTGACCCAGAATGGCTATAAATGCGGCCCAACACAAAATCGTAAATTTGCTTAAAACTTTTTTTTCCTTATCAGTTTTCGTTAGTGTTTGTGTATCTAAATGTGTGGCCCAAGACAACTCTTCTTCTTCTAGTGTGTCCCAGATATGCCAAAAGGTTGGACACCCCTGTCAGGAAAGTGAAATCAATAAATTTGATCAAAATATACACAGTATCTAGCACAGGAACTAATATCTGTAAGTGTTCGAAGCAATATGGATTTCATTGTGAAATACAGAAGATACACACTGGGTCACATTTTAATAGCACTGAAACTGGCATGTCTTTTATGGTCCAGGGTGTGTCACAGTTTAATGGGTAGTATGTGATGCATACTGCATTTGATGTGTGTTGTAGGCAAAATAATGGCCTCCCCAAAATGTCCTTGTCCTAATTGCCCAAAAGTGTCAGTGGTACCTTCTATGGCAAAACAAACTTTGCACATGTGTTTAGATTAAAGACCTCGGGATGGGAAGATTATCCTGAACTATCCATGTGGGCCCGATGTAATCACAAGGGGCTTTACAAGAAGAAGGTAAGGGCTCAGAGTTAGTAGTAAAAAATATTATGACAGAAGCAGAGGTTGGAATGATGCAAAGAAGGGGCCAGGAGCCAAGGAACGCAAGCAGCCTCCAGCAGCTGAAAGCAGCAGTTGAAGCCTGAAGCTTCTAGAAGGAACCTTGCTGACACCTTGCCTTTGGCTTGGTGAGACTAACTTTAGACTTCTGACTGCCAGAGATGTAAGATAATAATTGGTGTGCTGCTTTAAGCTACTAGGCTTTTGGTAATTTGTTATAGCAGCAGTAGGAAAGTAATTAACATAGTCTTAAACTGTTTGAGATGGGGTTCTTTTTGACATATGGGCAACATTAAGCCCCCAGTGCTTTCTGAATTGCCACTTAGCATAAATGGCAATGTCTATAAAGCTACTGAGTGAATGCTGATGAAATAATATACAGTCATTAAAGTGTGTTTAAAAAGATTTAGTAAAGTAGAAAAAGTTATCTGATAAAAAAAAAATGTCATTTTGCATTTTACTGAAAACAGAATTTTATTAAATGGGCAAACATCAAAAATACTCATAAAAATTCCAGAATAAAATAAATTAAAATAGAAAAAAATGATTGTTTTTGCATGTTGGGATATAAGTGACTACTTTTCCTTCCTTTTACATTTCTGCAAGTTTTCTATAATGAACAGGCATTGCTTTCATAATGCAAAAAAGTACATCAATTTCATTTTGAAAATCAGTATTACATGAAATAAAAAGCAATGTGCACAATATTGGTAAACTCCATCTCTTTATGCACCAATAACTATAATATAAGGTCATTCGAAGCCTTCAAATTCAAAGATCTGACATTTCACTAACTATACAGTCATCACAGATCTGGGTTCGTGTTGCAAACTCGGGTCAGCATTAATCATAGTAAAGTTAAGATTATCATCTTCAAAAACCACCCACCTCACAGCCACTGTGGGCTGCACAAGGACAGCAGGGTGTCAGAGAGGTAGTGATTTAAGCAGAAACTGATAGCCGACTCAGTTGGAAGGAAAAAGGCCACAAGAAGAAAAGCTGGGAACCTGCAGTATGGTTCTGCTTCACTTGAATGTGGAAAGACCACAGAGTTCATTCTAGACTTATAGCTCTTTGACCTTGGAGAAGTCCTCCACCATTCTGAGCATTGGTCTCTTCCTTTGAAATTTTATGAAGGAAAAGGACCAAATTATCTCTAGGATTCCTTCTAGCGCTAAATATTCTGTAAATAATATATGTGCAAATATTCACACAAACACAGGGACATATAGTCTCTGCTTATAAAAGAATAAGATTGATTCAAAGAGGCAAAGGCCAGAAAAAATACTTTTTCACTATTCTCCAGTCTCCGTTTATATTCACACAGGGATTGCTGTGAGCTGGTGTGAAGTAGGTCTTTTGCACTCTGCAATTTTCCACTAATACCATTGCCATCAGATATTTCACAGTATCTTTTCTCTCAGGACATCAAAAAATAAACTGCACAGCGTATTAAAGGCTTAAACATGTGAAGGGTGACAGCAGCAGCCTGTTGTCTGGTTAGTCGCTGAAGCTTACAGCTTGTCACTTGTCAGCTCTTTGAGGCATGCATTCGTGACCTCGGGTTAGCTCTCTACTCTCTTCTGTGGAAATCCAGCACAGTAACAAAATTTAACAACTTTCCAACTAGTGAAACTCTTGATAATGTTTCCATTCTTAGGGTTTTAAGCAAGATTCCATTTCTGGTATATGTCACATGTGAAATTTTAGTGGAATCTTGAGATGTCTTAGTATATTTATTATCTTTTTCCCCCACAGGAAATATTGATGGGGTATCACTTATTTGAAAGAAACTTAAGTCATTTACTCCACATCCTACAGAACTTAAAAGTCTCTAGGGTACAATAAATCATGCACATATTTAGCTCTAATGCAGAACAGAAATGCAGGAGAAAACATAGCTGTTACAATGGATCAAACTTCAGAGGAGAATGAGAGGTTATGTCCAGCTGTTCAGAAAGAGAATGGTCCAGGAAAGCTTATAGGGTACATGGCATTGAAGGCTGTTTGGGTCTTGAACTTAAAAACTGAGGTGGAAGTGGGCGGCTTTCTTGGTGGAGGAAACAGAATAAGCAATGACCTGGTGGCATGAAAAATTGGGGGTGTGCATGGAGAGGAACAAAGAGTAAATTTTGGTGGCAGTACCAGCTTGAAGTTGGGAAGCCATGGGATAAAGGCCAAAAAGACAGATAAATCCAGTTTGCCAAGGCCTTGAATGCCAACCTAAAGAAGCTGCACTTGATTGAACAGACAGTAGAGAGGCAATATAGGGCTTCTGAGCAATTATTTAACTGATTTTCCTTCATCCCCACTTTTTAAAGGTGACAGAAGTAATTTTGACTTTGTACTCTAAAAGGCAGTATAATTTCTCACTCAACAAATGAACAAAATTCTAAGTAACCTTTGTATGTATCAACCAATGAATTGGAAAATAATTAAACTTTACATGTTTGAAAATCTGAAGGGAAAGATTTCCTTTATTGCTCTACTGATGTTGGAAGAGCAGTGACCCATTAAGATGTTGGAATGAAAGCTGCACACAGAGGGAGCTGCACACAGAGGGAGCTGCACACAGAAGCCCAATCATCTGGAGGACAGAAGGTGACTTGGCCACATCGACTTTATCCTGTGGCCCCCAGACTTCTCAGTGTCAGGCCTTCCGGTCATCAGGGTTTGGCTCTGGCCCTTTATACACAGACCCTGGTCCTTCACCTGACTGCTCTGGGGCACTGGCCCTGAACTTATATTCTGTACATGAAAACACAATACTGATTTAGCATGGTGCTTTCCTTTTGTTTGTATGAAGAATGTGTGTGCAATTATATATAAATGTATAAATATACACACATTACATGAAGTGGTAATAGCCCATCCCATTATCTTATTGCTGTTTTATAGTGAAAGCTACTATTTTTCCTGAATCGTTTGTGAGCAGTACGAGAGGAGGCTCACCATATAGTATCATGCATCCCAGCCAGAACTCAATTAGTATTTATTGATTAATTGATTTAAGAAGTGTTCTTTAGCCTCCAGCATATGCTGTATTGCCTTCCAGAGTCAGAACAGCTGGTTAACATATTTGGTGTAATAGGACAAAAAAGTATGGTTTCTATTTTCTTTTAGATCTATAAAAAGCAAGACAGGTTGTTTTTTAAAAGCTCCTGAGATGAGATAACTGAACTCATCATATGAAAGCAATCTATCAATGTGTGTGCGTGTGAGAGAGAGGGAGAGAAATCAGCCAGCTCCCAAATGCAAAACGAAGAAGTAATGTGCTAAATATTAAAATACAAGTGATGTTAGCAGATGGCAAGAGTTTGTCAGCTAGCATGGTTTTTATGTGTAATACTTGAAACCTACCTCAATAAAGAAGATGCTGGCTGCTGACGTTGGGTGGTGATACATATAGACTGTCACAAGAATGGCTGCTGCTATAATGAGGACCAGGATGAGAATTCCAACAATGAGGCCCGCGTGCAAGGTCCCCCCTTTCTTCTCGGCTGCACTGTCATCTGTAGAAGCTGAGGGAACAACACGGCTGTCAGGACATTCAGGTTGCATTCTTAAGCTTGCATTTTCATTAGAAAGGGTGTTTATATTGTTAATAAAGCACTGTTAGATCTTTTTTTACTTCCTGGGCAACTTTTCTTTTCCATGCCACCCATTTTAGAAGTCCAATACTCTTTACTTGGGCAGTATAAAATCTATACTATTCATGATTAAAATACATTTATCACTGTGTTTTAATTTCTGGTTCAATAAACAAGATCAATAGCCTTTATTCTAAAAGTACTGTAGAAAATCTAAACCTCTATCTAATAAATTTAACTTTGATTTTTCTCATTAAACCACAAGCACTTTGACCTATGAAAAATTGATTAGTTTTTCAAAGCTTCTCTCTCATTTTCTTTTGGAAACTTTAAATTGGAGAATATTGGACATCTCTTGGTGGACTGACTATACAGGCATTCTCAGAAAGTCTGAATGAGTTCAAAGATAATTTTCAAAATCTGTCTTGAACTGCAGTGCTCCTTATAACAGATGGAAGCTAAAGGAGCCTCCAATAGTTTTATCACTATCCAAAGGAAATGCACAGCATATAAAAATAACCTACTACACAACAAACCAACACAGTATTCTCTTACTTTTACTGAGATGCCTTCCACTGTAATACTCAGAGAGGTATTTGTGAACTAATAACTTTCCAATTTAAAGTCAATCAACCAAATACAAGTAATCTTTAAAGTCTTATCTGGTTCTAAAATTCTATAGTCTTTGATAACTACTCAGACATTTAGAGGAGATCTTCTTAAAGTATGTGCAGTAGGTAACTGTATCTTATTGCAAAATATTATTGGTATTTTTAAATTAGAAAATAAATTAAGACTCATAGAAGTTTTAGAACAGTAATTCCTAATTATTTTATTACCAACTTATGACTGTTATTTTCAAACTTTGCCTCTATGTTTTAAAGATTTTTTGGTCTATTAAGCCTCTTTAATAAGCTCCAATTTACTTATTTTATTTTAATTTTTTGTTAATAGAAAACAAACATGACTGCATATCAGAATATGTGGTCAATACTAGGAAATACAATCTAGCTAAAGCAAAAAGATACGATCTCCCAAATTTCCCACTGTTCCTTTAAATAGTGCTGCTATCATTTGTTGACTCTGCTTGAGATCCTTAGTGTTCAGTAATCTTCCTCCAAATCAAATAAACCTCAAAATCCTAAAGCATTCCCTTACCTAACAAATTCATTAATGAAAGAATGTAAAATTTAAAGAGTAATTCACTATAAAAAATTCGTTTACAGAAAGAATTCTGGGAAGATGGCAGTAAAATATCAGGAATCTGTCTCCCCACCTAGATGCCAACAGCATTGGCCGAATCTGCCTACGGCAGCAATTTTCAACTGATGTGTCACAAGAATTCTAAAACATGCAGTACTTCTCTATTTAGTTCAGGGCACTGACCTTCTTTTCCCTTAGACTTTTAAATAAAAAATTGACAATAGTCAATAAAACAATATCTCTCTGGTGTGAATAAATCTGAATTATACTTTTTTGTGTGAGACTGGCAGAAAATATATATTTGTTGGTGTGCTGAAGAATTTTAGTAGTTACTTTATGTTTGCCATGAGATGGAAGAGGTTGAAGATTGCTGGTCTAAGATACCTATTTTGTAACTCTGGACTCTATTGAAGGCTTGCAACTTCCAGGGGAAGGCTTGGACTGTAAATTGTGGTTGATTTTAGTCAATTTCAGCTTTTAGCACAGTAGTAGCTGTCTATCCTTCACCCCTCACTCCTGGGACAGGCAGCGATACACCTGCTCTGATCACTGATTTGTGCTTGTGATCACAGAGGTAGAGGTGCAGATAGAAAGACCAGCAGCCTTGGTTCCTTGGTTGCTGCACCTCCCCATGACTGCAAGCCCCTCCCCCTTTGGCTGACCTGACTTCCAAGGGAATTGAAGAGACTGCATGTGCCATTTTCCTCCCCTTTTACCTTTCTCATTTTTCCCTTTTAGGGAGTCAGTTATTAACCAGTAGAATGCTCAAAACAACTGTGTATATGTGTAACAATGAAAAGTGGTAGTGCATGCCCAGGAAAAGGCTCAGAAAAGACTTGAGAGGACCCTAAGTTTATACTTGAAGCTGAACCTCAATACAGAGACAGCTTGCCACAGTAAAACAAACAAACAAAAACAAAAACAATAATCAAACTCAGCAAACTCTAGGGTAGGAGAAGAATTTGATTTCCAGATTTACTACATTATTAGATTCAAGTGTCCAGTTTTGAACAAAGATTCACAAAAAGGTATGGTTTGTTCAAAGAAAAAAAATCAACAGAAACTGTCCCTGAAAAGGACTTGATAGTGGGTATACTCAACAAAGATTTTAAAATAGCTGCCTTAAAGATACTTAAAGAACTAAAAGAAGATGGGCAGAAACTAAAAAAAAATGTGGGAACAACATGGAAATATAAATGAAGAGATAGATATTAAAGAAACAAAAAGAAATTATGGAGCTGAAAAGTATAATAATAAAATAAATAATAAAATTTAAAAATCACCAGAGGAATTCAAAGGCAGATTTGATGATAAAAGAACAAATGGGCAAAACTATAAGATAGGATGACCAAAATTCTTGAGTGTGAGGAACAGAAAGAAAAAGACTGAAGAAAAGTGAACACAGACTGAGGAACTGTGGGGGCCCATCAGTGGACCAGCAGATGCATGATGGGAGTCCCAGAGGGAAAAGAGAAAAGCATATTTGAAGAAATACTTATTGAAAACTTTCTAAATTTGATGAAGGACATTCATATAAATAAATACTATCTCAAGGAATTTCAAGTAGGATGAATTCAAGGAGACATACACTAAGACAAATTATAATCAGACTTTCAACAACAAAGAGATAATCTTGACAGCAGTAAAAGAAATGTGACATTTCGCCTGTAGGTGATTCTCAATATAATTATTAGCAGATTTCTCAACAGAAATCTTGGAGAACAGAAGGCAGTGGGCCAATATATACAAAATGTTCCAAACAAAACAAAACAAAAACAAAGACAAAAGAACAATGTGTCAATAAATAATCTAATATCTGGCAAACTGTCCTTTATAATTGAGGGAGAAACTAAGATATTCCCATATAAAGTAAAGCTGAGAGAAGCGGTTACCACTAGATCTGCTCTGCAAGAAATGCTCAGAAGATTCCCAAAAGGTGAACCATAAGAACATGAGACATAACTGAAAGCCATATAAAAAATAAAAATCTCAATAAAGGAAAACCCATGGAAAAATGATAAAAGTGAATATTACTAAAATTACTGTAGTCTAAAGGCTAATATTATTGTAACTTTAGTTTTTAACTCTAATTTTTTCTATATAATTTAGGAGACTGATGCATTTAAAAATTGTTAATTTATGTTTTTAAAAACAAGAATGCATAAAAATGTGACATTGTGACATGAACAACCAAAGGTGCCATGGATGGAGATATAAAGAAGTACTTTTTATATAATTGAAATTAAACTGGTATGTATGCAAATTAAAGGGTTATAACTTTAGGATGTTAAATATAATCCTTATGATAACCCAAAGAAAAACAGCTATAATATATACACAAAAGAAAAGACACAAAGAAAATATATACACAAAGAAAATAGCTATAATATATACACAAAAGGAAATGAGGAAGTATAATTAAAAATTCCACTATGAAAAATCAACTAAACACAAAAGAAGGAAATGTTGAAATGAGGAACCAAAAAGCTACAAGGAAAATAACAGAACTATAGATGTCCTTAGTTATCATGGAGATTTGCTTTAAATATAGTTCAATTAAACTCTCCAATCAAAAGACACAGATTGGCAGAATGGATAAAAACATGTAACGCTGTCTATAAGACACTAACTTCAAATCCAAAGACACAAATATATTGAAAATAAAAGTATGGAATATTCCATGTAAAATAGTAACTAAAAGTTATAATTGTAACTATAGGGTTGCTATACTAATATAAGACGAAATAGATTTTCATTAAAAAATATTACAAAAGGCAAAAAAGAAAATTATATATTAATAAAAGGTTCCAACAGCAAGAAGATAAACAATTAAAAACATTTATGCACCTAATGATGAACCATCGAATTACATGAAGCAAAAGCTGACAAAATCGAAAGGAGAAAGAGTTCTATAGTAATAGTTGTATATTTCTAGATTCCCCTCTTAATATTGAATAGAACGACCAAACAGAAGATAAGTAATAAAATAGAGGATTTAACACAATAACCAAGATACATCTAACAGATACACGTGCAACACTTGACAACAACACATTCTTTTCAAGTGAACATAGGACATAGGGCATTTTCTAGAACAGACCATATATTAGGTCACAAATAGTGTCTCCACAGATTTAGACAGGTAAATATCATTAAAAGAATCCTCTCTAAACATAATGAGATAGTTAGATATCAATAATAGAAGTAAAAGTGGAAAGTCGCAAATTCATGGAAATTAAACAAAACACTTTTAAATGACCAATGGATCAATGAAAATTAGAATGTTTAAGAGACAAATAAAAACAAAAATACCAATACTGAAACTTATGAAATACAGAAGTATGCTGCAAGATTCACGATACCATATAAACTGTGTTGTATTCCCCATAACATTTGTTATTTTTTAATGATTTGGTTTCATTCTTAAGTATGCCTGTATCTTTGCACTTTGTGCATGTGGCTTTTTTCTTGTTTTTGAAAGAGTATGGAACATTACTTTCATGGGGCAATAGCATTAATTTAAAATGTTGCTTTGGAGTAAATACGGCAAAAATATTTACTTGAGTCAAGAAGGGAAGTCCTGAATGTTTCTTCAAATCCCATTGTAATTCCAATTTCTCTACCCATCAATCCATCTAATCATCCATCCTCCCTGACCTTTTTTTCTCCCTACCCCCATTTTCCTTCCCTTCTTTAATCCTTCCTTCCCTTCCTCCCTCCCTTCCGTC